GCGAACTGGCGACCTTCTTGCTGCGAGGCAACAGTGCTACCAACTGCGCCACCCTGTAAGTAAACCGTTGTTTTTTAATTCCATATTACAATTACAATGCTAATATTCCATCTTCTTGCATTGACGGTCCTGCTAGCTTAGCTTAGCATGTTAGCATGCTTGCAGTTACCGCTACCACTAGAAAAAAAGTACCACAGAGCCTAACGGGAAAGTCGTCAGTTTCTCGAAGGTTGTCGGTCATAAATCTGATTTTTTTGGACAAATTATAATTTGACCCATTGATAATGCAAAGTTAAAGATATGGGGGAAAAAATTAAACATTTTTAAATAAATATTTAATCGTAAAATCAACAAGTAAACGAGTAAAATTATTGTTATTTTACAGGTATTTGCTGTCGTCTTTTGGAACGTTACAGTATTCCACCATTTTTTAGCATGTTTTTTTTTTTTCTGATAGATTTTCTGCAAACAGCAGCTTTAATTTGGGGAATTAAACCGATGCGTATCTCTGCAGTGGGAGTTTTCAACCATCAGTCTGGTGAAATTAAGAATCTCCATAAAGCACAAACGTCTCGCACTTTGCACCCCGATGGCGCTTTATCCCTTGTTTGCGTTTTGCTCTGGGCGCTCGACCCTCGTCGGCGTCCCGGGGCTATCGTGTGATCGCAGCTATGTTTATCGGCTTTTTTTAGTTCTGACAATTTGTAAACCTCTTGAAACTGGTCTGGTGTGAAAATGAGATCTTTCCTTCCTTAGCTCAGTGTTTACTTAATCAAAGGGAAGCGTGGTGATGGCATTAGCCTTCCATCTGGACAGGTGCTTCGGCTCAAATGGAGGAGCCAGTTCCGCCTCTCGGAGGGGGTATTAATAAGTCCGTCCACTCGGGCCGTTCGGGGTGCATTCAGTGATTAACTTAAATTAAACGGAAGACATTTAAAGGCATGGCGAGGTGACAGATTTCCAAAGAGGGAAAGAGGCAGGAAGTGATTACATGTGACCGTCTTCCCTGGAGCTCCTGTGCGCCGACCTTATCTCCAGCTCCGTCTCTCTCTCTCACCCACACACCTCCACAATGGTACGCCCTCCCCCTGATGTCACCCCCACCCCGGGCTTCCGATAGCAGGCTAGCATTTCAAGACCACATTCCTGAGGCCTTGCTCGCCCCTCGTCTACTCTGGGAACCTGCAGCTCGGCCACATGAGGGAAAGGATCGATTTCCCAGCCTGATCTTTGTATATGTTTATTTTCTTAATGCTTTCATCAAAAGCCTGAAGCGTGTCCGGGCTTTCTGCACATTAACGGACACCTGATTAGCCTTTCAAACAAAGGCGAGGAGGGGTGGGGGGTTCTTGAAGACGCTCAGGCCAACGATGACAAATCCACGAAGCTTCCACCGCTGGCTTTTGGACAACAAGCTTTTAAATTGTACACCTAATTGGCAAGCTGGAAAACCCATTCACTCAAGAGCAGACACTGAAACCTAAAACCTTGACTTGCACTTTCTAAAAGTAGACTTTGGGAGAGATCTGCGGCCTCTGCTTGTCACCAGTTTAATTCATGTGCCACTTGCTCCACAACACCCTCAAAGAAAAGAGGGGGGAAGCCGGCGTTGCCGATCCTGTTTTATATGCCGTCCGTGCACGCAGGAGTCGGGATGATTCCATTTTGTCTGCCGGTGATCGCTGGTAGTCGCCAACAGCAAAGAATAACATCGTTCTAATTGTTGCTACTGTATGCAGATCATTCGTGTCATTCTTGATTTGGGTTTTGGCAGGACAATTTGTTTTTCCTGCACTGCTGGACAACTTACGTAAGGCTCTGTTATGCCCGAAACTAATTGGGTTGAATGTTACATGTTGATTCAGCGAATGAGGAAGAAAAAAAAAAAAAAGTCATTTGGCCCCAGTCCGTCCCGCTGCTAAATGTTAGTTTAAGGGCGGATGTCTTTGACCGCAAGATTTCTGGAAGGAGCCGCGCTATTGTGCCGCGAATTAGCGTCTAAGTGGAGCTGACAGAGGGAGTTTGAGCGCTCGGAAGGAAAAATCAATATCAAACATACGGATTTATTGTACGCACACATCGAGAAGAAGAAAACAACAAAGCATGACAAGTTATTAAAGGTCGTTTAAGGTTTTGCGCACAAAATCACCCGACGCTCGCCCCTGAAGAAGAGTCCTCTGACACTGTAACTTCATCACCTCACAAAGCGCGGAGCCACACTAGTATGTCTTACGAATTTCATCTGGCTGAGAACTGCGTCCAGATTTTAAGAAGTGCCATATGAATCTAAGTGATTAAGGCGAGGGTGTAAACGGAGAGGGCGAGCTCCATGGCCGGCGTGGAGGGACCCTGCGTGTCTGCGGCCAGCTGCACCTGTCTGCACTAAAGGAGCAGCGACCGTGGCCCCGAGGTGGCACCCGGCCAGGAAGGTAAGGACGAGAAGCTCGGTGTAGGTTGAGCCCGAATGTGATTCCCCTGAGAATCTCTCGCGCCGCGTGCTCACCTCAGCTATAAATAGCTTTTATTAGGTTTAAGAGGAATTAGTGCAGATGTTGGTCGTCAGCACGCTGATACGGGCCGAGGTTCTGGCGTGAGCAGAAAGAAGGAGGAGGGCGAAGTGTTAATGATAAGAGCCTGGACCACACGCATGCAGCCAGATGTCTACATGGATACAACAAATATCACGAGTTAAGCAGAAGTAATTCACAAACATTCTGGATCTTCGTTTATTCGTTTTTGCATAGTTTAGGGTCGTTTGTGGTACTTTGGGGGGAAACCGTGCAGGCAGGTTTCCATACGGTGGCAACATCCGGAAACCCCTAAACTGCAGTTCCTCAGTTGGCCACTCAGTCCCCATGAACCCATGAACCCATCCATCCATCCATCCATCCATCATCTACACACCACCATCCATCCACTATCCTCATCCCCACTTTCACCCAACCGGTCGAGGCAGATGGTCGTCCTCCCTGAGCCTGGTTCTGCCGGAGGTTTTTTTTTGGTTCTTTCCCACTGTTGCCAACCGCGTGCTCAAAGGAAGTCCAAAGGCTGCTTTGGATTGTTGGGTTATCTGTTAAATTTCTATGGTCTTTACCTTACCATGTTAAGTGCTGTGTCATCACATGTTGTAAACTGCGCGATACAAATAAAATTGAATTGAATTGAACTGGGGCTGCAAGGTGACGCAGTTGATCAGCACTGTTGCCTCGCAGCAAGAATGTCGACGGTTCGCGTCCCAGTGAGGGGCGCAGCATCTCCAAGTGTAGCCCTGTGATAGACTGGTTACCTGTCCAGGTGAACCTGCCTTCACCCTGAGTCAGCTGGGATAGACTCCAGCCCTCACGACCCTAGTGATGATTAAGCGGTGTATAGATGATGGATGGATGAATTGAACTGAACCACTTGCCCCTCACTACGATTGCGGGGTGCCTAGCCCAGCTGATACAGGGCAAAGACAGGTCGCCAGTCCCCATGAACCCCCATGTTATAATGCACTACTTTAGGGCCTCCGCTGTAGCTCACCTGGTTGACCTGGTGCCCCATGTACAGGGGCTGGAGTCCCCGATGCAGCGCTCATGGCTTCGAATCCCACTCATGGCCCTTTGCTACAAGTCCTTCCCCCATTCTTCTTCCCCACTTTCCTGTGTCCAAAAAAATAAATGCACAACTTTACAACAAAGAGAAACATGTTTACAGTCTGGTACAAAACCTGTTCTGGTCTCTATAGTTAATTTTTTGTCACATCAGCTGTATGGGGGTGAATTTTCATACAGCTCACTCATTTAAACTTTATTAAGGCTCAAAATGATGCCTAATTGTGAGCAGGCCAACTGGTCACCACCTCCTACTCCACCTCGTTCATTTTCAATTAGTCAGGAATTAGGAGGAGTTTGGCGCTACCAAAATGGTGACACCATCGCTGTGCTTCAGAACTCCTTTTCAGGAACCCTACGGGTGACGATCCATTGTTATGTACAGCCTGTGGTCACCGCTGCATCACCAGTCAAACACAAGACCCATATTACAGAAAGACAGCCAACTCAGAAAACAAAACACGCCAAGAGCTTTGAACTAAACGCTGTGCAGCAAACATCATTAAAACCTCGCATCTTAATTGTGGCCTCCCCGCTTAATTGCCCACCCTGCTGCCCCGTCGTGTTGTGAAAAAGGCGTGAACTTAACGAGTTGAGGAAGTGAAGTAAGAAAATGTAAACTTTATTGCAACTTTGTCGTTCTACGTTCTCTGATTTACAGAAGAGAGAAAAAAAAACAAAAAAAAAAAACACTTGTAATGGCACAGTCATCGTAATATGTACATTGCTGATTCTGCAATAATCCAGACGCTCACGTCGTCCGGATTTAAGAGTGGCGCGTTAAGGCACATGTCTGTCGAGGGAAGGAATAAAACACATCAAAGCTTTTTTTTCTTGCAACTCATAAGTGAACATACCACAGCATTCCACAAAAAAGCATTAAAACGGGGAACTAGAAAAAGCTCCTCACGCGAAGGGCTGTGGGAAGTCACAGTTTGTCCGTTGTACATTCTGCTCCGGGGGGGGAGAGAGATTAAGACGTCAATGTGTTTCGCAACGTACCGCGTTGCACTAAGACATTTGGTGATCCGATAAGCTTGGTTAGACCTGAGCGTTTGAGTCGATACAGTAAACTTGTTAGATCAAAGTGAGCTGAGCGGTTAACAGAACGGTCGCTAAGTTTTCCCCCCAGTCTGTATCATCACTGCTGGCCGGTTTAAGATGATCTTGTGAAGAAGAAATCAGTAAAAGATAAGCACTGACAAAGAACTAACGGATGGAGGAGACGCGGTGTAAAGGTTACATTTCTTCATGGGCTGATTCTGAATATAAATCACAAAAGAAAATCTCATTCGCTGAGAGCATTAAGTGAGGAGTTCAAACAACATCTTTTTGTTACAAGCAAAACGACTAAAACAATGGAAGTGGGTGTATTTACACAGATAGTCCGAGCAGTCGTCTACGTAGAGGCACACATGAGGGCAGAAATACTCATCAGGTGAGTTTAACCATGACAGTTTCTGGCTGTTTTTCTTTTTCATCGCCTACATAAGAGAGCACTGGATTTATGGATGCTTGGTTCAGCATTTGGGGAAATAAGATTATTTGCTTTTTTGCTCATAGTGAAGTCTACAAGCAGGAGACGGTTAGCTTAGCATGAAAATGGGAAACGGGACGGTTAGGGTAATAGTCCAGTCTGTAACACAATGCAACTTGGTTTTACCTTTGGGTTTCCACTACGGAAGCCGAGAGCGGTCGTTTTCCGCTACTGTTCTTTCTTTTCGCCGTTTTCTCAAGATAACGAGTTAATTTTCTCGTTATCTCGAGATAACAAGAATCGTTTTCTTGTGAAAACGAGATAATTGGTGTTTGTGTTTGCCCGCTCGTGCCCGGTCCAGGATGGAATCCCAGGTGTGTGGGACCTCGCACGTCCATCCTCAGTCACCAGCGGGGGGCCGGAGGACAGACGAGACCGGGCACGAGCGCTTCATTGTAAGTTGTTGTGCCCGGTCAGCTGTTCTCATGACACGTCATGTTGGAGTTCCCGGTCAGCTGTTTGTATAAGATACGTCACACCAGGAAGTCCGACAACTTTTGATGAAGGCTGAAGTGACAGCCGAAACTGTCAACGGGATAATTTTCTCGTTATCTCGGGAAAACGGTGTTTTAAAAAATGTGCGGCCATGACCGCTTTCGGCTTCCGTATTTCCGCACAGATTAATGAACGTGATTTTAATTCGGTCCACTTGGTGCCAAATTCAGCAAATCTGTCCTCACGGTTGGTTGGTCGGCTATTTGTTTGTTTGTTTCCCGCATAGATTGATGTGGCTCAGGTTTGAGCACATTTGTAATTGTACACAGGAAAAGGGGAAAAGGGGCCAATGGGATCCAGTTTGGCTGTTGTGACTCTGTTCAATAGACGTTATCAGCACACATCATTCCCTCACATATGGGCAGGTTAGGACCGACGCCACCTTTGGGGAAACTCGGTAGCCTGTTTATACATATACGGAGGAACAAAGTCTGATTTAGTGTTTGGAAAGGATGGAGGAGGCATGAGTCACCCACGAGACTTGAGATTGAGTCCCATCTCAGACCATAAACAAAGTCTCATTTTCTGGCTGTCGTCCATCATTTTTCTTCTGATATTTGGTTCTATTCAGTCTCGGTTTAATTCATGGATCACCTTGTTCACCAAATGTCACTGAGCTCCATTTTGTCCAGCGCATGTACGTATTCACACAACTACAAGATGCTGGTTTATTAATGACCTGAATGCATCATAATGAGCTTACTGAGCAGATAGAGGGAATAAGACGCGCTGATAATCGGCCATTTAATGGGCTGATAACGTCTCAATCGATGGTTAAAAAATAGCTAAAAATGCTAAGCGCTAAACGTCAACAGTCGTTTACCAGAGTCACAGACTCCAACATTTAAGTGAATGAGAAATAAATAATGAGTTGTAGAATATATTTACTAGCTGTGGGCCAATCTAGCTGGTTTCCCATGTCAGCTAACCGGCTGCTTGTAGTAGCTTCTGAATAAGCTTATTTCCCCGAATGTCACGTGGTTCGTTTAAAATCTCTTTTCCGCCAGCAAGGCTTTCTTTAAAATGTCTCACCAAAGAGCACATCAACACATCATTAGTCATTTAGTAATTAATCAAAAAGAAGAGCCACCCATGTATAAGCCTTCGCTACAGCAGGTTAGTAAGAAGGTCAAATCTAGTCTAAATTCAAATATATGCAAAGTTACAACGACAGTGACTTGGCCTCAAGTTCGTCCGGTGTACAGTACTAAGGGACATTCAGACGTGTCCGACAGTGGTATGTTGATCAACTAGTCTGAGAGTATGTGCGATGGGGTGGTGGGTTGTTGTCGTGTCAGATGACTTCGTAACGCAGTGAGGATCCATAACTTGAGGTACATTCATAAAAACATCAGCCCGCCGGCCTGATGAGTTCAAGTAGAAGCCTTTCCAATGAGTGAGCAGGACGCTGCGTCCGTCTCCATACGCAGCTTTCTGTGATCTAATTTCCTCCCAGTAAGCATTTTCCTCGAGAAAAGAAAAAAAAAAAAAGCCCTTTCAGTCATCTTCCTCCGTCTTTCTATATCTTCATTTGGTCTTCTTGAGAGATTCAGATTCTTGTAAGCAAACAAGAGGCTTGCTTTGTTCCTCCTTATCAAGAGAGCCAGCAGCGACTAAAAAAAACTTAAAGACTGTAGAAATGCAGCATGTAAACACACAGATTTCTCCGGAACTATACAAAAAAAAAAAGCAGAACGGATGAAAAAGTCCGGAAACAAATCAGCCAAGAGGTAAAACCACCGATTAACTTTTTTTTTGTTCGTTTTTTTTTTTAGAAAAAAAGGAAGAAGAAAATGTCACAAAAGGTAAAATAACAAAAACAAAATTTGAACTGTAAAGTGCAAGTATAAAAAAAAACATCTTTCTACATGTCGTCTCAAAGCAGAACCTTGAGACGGGTTCAATGGTCTTTAGTGGAAAAGTGCAACTTGAGAACAGCACAAGTTTGTTTTTGTTTGTTTTTTTTAAAGAATTTGATTCCAAACAGTAACAGGATCAGTCATGTGACTCCGTGGATCAGTCATGTGACTCCGTGGATCAGTCACGTGACTCCGTGGATCAGTCACGTGACTCAGCTTCTCCGTAAGAAAACTGCCACCTCCTCCAAAGGCACGGGGTAATCCTGTAGAAACGTCCCCCCGTCGAACACCTGCGCGTTCTGGCTGTCCTGCCACTGGAAACCCCCGTCAGGTAAATAAATATCCCGCTGCACGGCGCCCTTCTCCACCACCGGTGCCACCAGGACCTGAATAGAAGAAATAAGATGAAACAATCTCAAACGTCAGGGAGATCGTACACTTAGCGAGACATCGAGTTACAGCCGAGGTTGATTCTGCCAAGCGTATCGGATGCTGACGGAAGGAACCCAATCCCCTCCCCATCAGAACGCCATTAAGTCACCTCGTCTCCGATGAGGAACTGGTCATCGATGGTGAAGGTCACGGGGTCACTGGGGCTGAGCCACCACATCGGCCGGTAGATGGGGTTTCCCGTCATCTGCCACTCCTCCGCATACTTTTCTATCAGCGGTACCACGTCCCTCTGGTGCCTCGCGATGTAGGTCCGAGTTAGGTTTAGCACCTACGGGTGGCGAGTTGAGAGGAAACAGTCAGGATTCGCATGAAGACGGATCATCGTCTGCCTTTTTGTTCCTGCGTATTCACTCAGAACCGAGCCAGATATATTTTCAAGAAATCTGGAGAAACTGAAACCAATGAAAAAAATTTTTTTTCCCCAAACTAAATCATCTGCCACAAGGATCTCAAGACAAGAATAATATTGACAGCGAGGTCTGCTAAGGACATTTGTGCCATCTCCTCACACAGACGGAGCTTGAGAGCAGCCCATTGTTGACTCAGTGGCTTCGGCACTGTCCAAGTCTTTCTCCTGTCTCCCTGTGGCCAAACTCGCTCGGCATTCCTAGAAGGGTCACATCCTCCTCAGCGTCCCATGACAAAAACAAATCTCGACCGCATCTATAAAAAATGTATTTTTTTATGAGTTGGGATTGAGAACATTTGTAGGAATGAGCTTGAACGGGAGCCAGGCTTTGAGTGGATCCTTCTCTAATTGAGAAGCCAGGCATGTGTGTGGGTTTGGGGGGTTTTTATTGCTATTTGATTCCAGCGCGGTGGCTGCTGTGACCTGTCTATGACTGACTGAAGTCTCACACGTTCTGGAAATAAAGGTGCACCGCATTTAAACTTCCAGTGAAACGCCCGTAAAAGAGTCATTCATCATGTGCGGCGCGGCAGTTTGTTCTCCGCTAAAGCGTCTCCTCAGTCTCACTTCATCTGGGTTTATAAGTTGAAGGCCGTGCGAGAGACCAAAATGGAAAACATTGCCGCTGTCGAACGTCTAGCTGTCCAAAAAGACCTATTTTTATCTTTGTCACGCAACGCAAGTCACAACCAATACGTTTCGCTGCCTTCGTCGTCTCCGAGCGGAAAAAAAAAAAAAAAGTCCAGTCGATCACTCCCACTCGGTCACACTTGTCAATTACTCATGGAAATCTTAATTGCTACAATAAAGTATTTTTCCAAGACTTGTCCTCAAATTCATTATCATTCCTGCTGAAGTGGCCCAAGAGAGAGAGAGAGAGAGTGAGCCATAAATCTAGAATAGGGATTGTAATTCGGAACAGATGGACTCTTAACCACAGGTGAATGAGATGAGGAAAGGCGGGAAGGGCAGCGGAGAGGAGGAGGAGGAAACAAAAACAAGAAAAAAAGGATCTTCTCAGAAACTGTTCAGGAACCTGAGCTCTGGTACCACATCGTCAACAGTATCGATACATGTCAGCGGTCGGTCTTGTTTTCCTGCTGCGTACGGTGGAAAGCACATTCCTGATTTCCAGCAGAGAAGGACAACTTCTGCCTCTCCTGCCAGTCAGGTCGGAGTTTTGAAAGCAGTCCTCGCTGGTAAAAAAACGTCGGTGGGAACTTCTCGCCGCTGACCCTCGAAACCGACGGGAGGCTGCTGGGTCAATAAACTACTTCTCTGTGCCTGTTTTTTCCCCATAAGCAGAAGGAAAGGATAATCTCCTCCCTTCTAGAACATCTAATTGGCAGCGTTCACACCTCACTGCACTTGATCTCCAAATCTCCACAAGTGAAACGTCTGGAGAAGAATGTGAACCTGCAGCTTGTAGCGTGGACGACTCGGCCGTGACGGTAATGTGATGTTGGGTTTCTGGTTGCGTACCTGGTCCTCTCCGCAGACCCACGGCGGCGTGTGGAAGCTGATGACGGGGAGGAAGGCTGCGATCTCCAGCCAACGAATGAACAGCTCCTCATCTGTCACCAGGTCTCCAGATAGAGAACCACCTGTAGGGAGACGGAGAGACGAATGAAAGTGAAGGATTAAAATATACAAGAATCGTATCGACTGTGTGACTTTGGAGAAGCGAGTCTTTAAATAGAAAATCCATAAAACAGCTCAGCGGTTGTACCAGTGACGAAAAACTAGAAAAATTCTTTAATTCTGCCTGAAAAGGCTGCAAATGAAGACGAGATTCTCTATTTATTTATTTATTGATCCAAGATGGCGGCGCGTGTAGACGCAGCGGCTCTGTGTTCTTCTTGTGCTTATTATTTAATTTCATCTTTATATATAAAGTTTTTTTTATATATATATGTCTATTTTTTATATATTGTGTTGTACATAGTTATTTGCAAAGCTTTTATATTTCTTGCACTGAAGGGCCTCCACCTTACTTGTCATTGTACTTGTTGCAATGACAATAAAGCAAATTTGAATCTGAATCTGTTCAGCATTTGTCCCCATTTCCACACTGCAAAGAGATTAAAAACAAACCAAAAAAGAAAATTCAGCAGAAAGGATGCAAGAAACAAATAAAAAAATAAAAAAAAAAAAAAAAAACAAATAAAAAAATAAATACAAAAACAATATAGGATGTTATAATATTGAAAATGGTAAAAAATTTGAAAATAATGTTGAAAATTTTACCTGATTTTAAAACAGGAAAACTGTAATTTTACACACTGTTTAGGACATTTTGTTTAGGGGTTAACAAATACTAAAAAATACTTTTTTTCCCTGTAATTTTACTCGTTATTATCTTTAATTTGACAAAACAGGGACAATACTGCAGTTTGATGGTTCTTATTTAACTTTAATTCTTCACTCCACAACATTTTTTTTTGATTCTGCTTTGCACTATTACAGATATTTTTATTTTTAATTTGCTTTATTTTACTCTATATTTATTGTTTACTCTATATTTATTATTGTATTGTTGCACCAACCCCACCAGAACAAATTCCTCATATTGTGTAAACTGTATGTGGCAATAAATCTGATTCTGATTCTGATCTGTAAAATAACAACAAACTGTTGAAAAAAAACTATTTAAAAAAGCTAAAAACTGCACGACTACATTAAAAAAATGCTGCATATAATTTACAGGCCTTTTATATGTTTTGGCATTTTTCTATTTTTTGACACTGTGTCCTGCTTTGTGTCTGACTTTTATTAATCAGCGTGTTGAGGCTCCATCAACAACATGCTGAAGAGGAAAATAATTATTCAACACACAAGAAAACAACATCTCTACACCGAGCAACAGCAGTGGACAGGATGTACAAGCGCAGAATTAACGGCTGACAATGTTTCACGTCTGTGCCGCTGACGGCTCCCAGATTCCTTCACTTCAAAGCTCATCGTTTTCTCTCAGCTGTCCGTCTGATTCACCTTCACAACTATTTGGAATATTACAGGAATACACGAGATTTTTGTGCCAGAAACCAGAAGTTCTCGGTCGTTTTTTTTTTTTTTTTTTTTGTGAGAAGTTTCTATGTAAAGTCAGAACATGACCACACTGTTGGAGGTGAGAGGAGTGACCCGTCGGCTGTGGTATTACCTACTGCATCAGGAATGAGGAAGTTGTATCCCAGCAGAGTGTGGTGCAGCAGGGAGGGAATGACGGCCCTCAGGCCCATCGGGCTCCAGTCGGACTGCAGGGGGGTCATCCTCACAAACAGCGGCTTGTGGCTCGACCTGAGGCACAAAACAAAACCTGGTAAACATAAGAAAGCCTGAAAAAGAAAAGCAGACATCAGCTGATGGAAGCTGATGCAACAAAGACGTGGAGCTGGAGGGCTGTTACCGGGTCCCTGCTGTCATGATGGTGGAGTCTCCGATCCTGGTGGCCACATCAGCCAGGTGGGTGATGTACTTGTCTCCACCCAGAACCTGCGGAGGCCGCAGGGCCTGCTCCTCGAACAGATTCCCCTCACCGCCCTCCAGCATGACGTACTCCATTCCTAAGTGGGCCTGCAGGGATCCCACCCTGTCCAGGAACCAGCTCACCGCTCCCGGGTTTGTGATGTTCAGCTTGACACAGAACTTTCCTCGCCACTGACTCATCACAGGGATCTACGGGATGCAAGGAGAGGTCCGTTTAAACAGCTGCTATTGTCGTCTCTCTGGGTAATGAACTCATTAATAACAACAGAGGCTCTGCTGCTGCAGTTATAGATTTTCTAGATTAGGTCATGTTCAAGCTGCTCTGCTTTTTATCAAAGTGGAAGCGGTGAGCGGAGAGACGGCCTCCAGAGCAGATGGAAAGTTTCCCACTTTTAAAAAAAAATCTCTGTGTCTGGTTTCCTTTTTAACTAAGTAGAGCGTTCTGGTAAGTTGAGGAAAGTTCAACGTTATGGACACATGAGATGATGCTTATATTTAAAATAATAATAATAGTGAGGAAGGAGGGCAATGCTGGACCATAATATGAAAACAGAGAGACGTCAGGTAGAACGCTCAGAGGACTGTGGACGCAGACAGCCGAGTGCTCTACAGCAGGGGTGTCGAATCCTGGTCCTCGAGGGCCGCAATCCTGCATGTTTTAGATGTTTCCTTCTTCCAACACACCTGATTCAAATGATCAGCTCATCATCAAGCTCTGCAGAAGCCTGATAGCCATCCTGATCATTTTAATCAGGTGTGTTGGAAGAGGGAAACATCTAAAACTTGCAGGATTGTGGCCCTCGAGGACCAGGATTGGACACCCCTCCTCTACAGGATGACAGCGCGCTCGTCTCGTGTCTCACCAGCTGTCCCTGGGAGGCCGAGGGGAGGCTGAGCCAGTAGGCCTCGGTGCCGTCGACGAGGGAGGTGTGGAACTGCGTGGTGTCCACGCCCAGGAAAGGGGACAGGGTGATGGAAATGTTAAGAAGCTTGACAAGTGGGAGGTCCCTGGTCAGTCTCTTGGACATCCCCCTTCTCCTGCTGTTGAGGTAGTCGTGGTCCTGCACAGAGAGAGAGAGACACACAACGACGCTACACAACGGGGCAAACATGTGGCCGCGACAATACGACCTCTGTCAGAACCGTTTGACATATACGGTGATCCTCTGGGGTTTACATGTTCAAGTCAGACAGAGATTTCAGATTACATAACGGCGGAACAAAACATCTTAAGAATATAAAGACTGACCCTCAGGGGTGAAATAGCTGCGGGAAGAAAGGCCAGATTAGCACATATTGTGTAATATCTCAGAAGGGGTTTTTCTTTTTTTTTTTAATGAGGTACCATTTGTTCTGCAATTTTTCCCCAAAAGAATAAAAAAGGAGACAAAACATTGGCCATGCTCTGAGCTTTGTTCACTTTCTTTTCTACTTCATCTAGTGTCTCTGAAATCTGTGTAGAAACATGTCAAACGTCTTCATAACACTAATTTTCCAGTGCCAGCGACTCATTCCAAACTAATATGGAAACTGGAAAAGAAAGGTCAGAGTGTGACTGATAATTTATGAATTCTTGTAAAAAGCGGAGTGAAAGAGGGGATCATTGTCACACTTGTGCAGAGCCGTACACTTCGCGGAGAGCTTCGTAAGTTTCCGTGCGGGACCGAGCGCTCGGCCGGTTCTTTACAGCTGCAGCTGATGTGGAGCCAACAGAACCGCTGCTGCTGGATGTCTTTGATGTACCAGAAAACTACAGATTCTGGGAAAAGGAAACTCTTGTTCACCAAATAGTATCCGCTGACTGACATGTGCGTCCTCCTCCTCCTCCTCCTCCTCCTCTCGCTGTCCTTTCACACCTCCCTGAGCTGGTAATGGGAACATACTGTTACCATTGTATATGTATATAGTGAGATGCCTGAGCTTGACCTCTGCGATGGACCGATCGTGTGAAACTCCGCCGCCTCCTCTGCTCAGGTCGGATCGCAGCATCGAGCCGGTGTCAGGATCACCTGCTCGAGTTAGCCTTGGCCGGGTTCCCTTCAAATCTCAACACACCCGATTCTTCACCATCCTACGGTTACCACACTCGGGGCAACCTGAGATCTATTAGGAGAGGCTGTGTTTGTCTTCCCTCAACTATATTTGTGTTGTAATCAAGCAGGTGTTGACACAGATCGCTGTTTCCGTGCGGTTCGAGAGAAACCGACGAGATAAACGTGAAACGATAACAAGAACAGAAAAACACCACACGGCCTTCTAGCTGCGCTAAATCACAGCTAAACAAAATGCTCGAAAACTTACAGAAGATGATTTACATTTACAGAGGCATAACTCTAAAGTGTCTTGTCGGTGTAGTCTGCACTCTGCGAGACTAATTTTTCAACATGAAGGCAAAAGGCCCGAAACCATTTTTTTTTTTTTTCTACGCTCTGACATTTCGGTGAACCTGTCCTCCCTCCTTCGTTCCCCGCCTGTCTCCAGAGCTCTGGAGATCCACTTAAGGAAACTCTTTCATCTCTTTCCCCGGCCAGTTGTGAGCCTCTGACCGATGAACCCTCAACCAGCCTCGCCGGCCCGACGGTCGCAGGGGAGGATTACGAGAATCGAACATTTTGCAAGAAATGGCTGAAGGGAGACGGGACGAGACGGCAAAACTAACAGCGAATCAAATATGTAAAAGGAACCATTATGAAAGATAAGAAACAGAACTACAGAACATGGAGGCTTTTATATCAGAAGATTATAAACCAAGAGAGACGCTTTCGTTTGATTGGATTGGGGTGCGATGTTTTTAAGAAATCTGGGACAGTGGCAAGCTGTATTTGTACTTTTGTATAAGTAAAAGTCCGTCATTCTTTAACTTCTCTCCTCGCTTGTAGGATCAACACTTGAGTGTACAGCCAGGCTGGCATTGTAAATAAGAATCTTGTTCTTCATGTCTTTGCCTGGTTAAATAAAGGTTAAATAAATAAAGCATTAACTTGAGTTGTAGCTACAAGCCTCTAACTTGGCTGAAATGAATCAGGATGATGTGTTGGCTACCTCGCTGCCATCTCCAGCTGTTCTCAGTGCAACGTAAAGGAGCAAAAATATTTAATTCTTTGTTGTTTTCTAGCAGACGCTTTTATCCACATCTGACAGTAGAGCTGCCATGCAAGGTGCTGCCTGCCATCAGGAGCAACTTCGGGTTCAGTGTCTTGCCCAAGGACGCTTCGACTGTGGAGAGGCGGAGGATTGAACCTTGCGATCAGAGGACACCTGAGCCACAGCCGCCCGTCTTTCATTCTTAAGATGTAATTTGTAATTAGACTTTCAGGGCTGGAAGAAGCGGCGGTGTGGAGCGCGTACCATATCAGAGAGGAGGGTGGTGGAATGTTCGTTGAGGCTGATGACTCCCTCCCCGAGCTGGTGTCTCCTCAGACGATTAGAGAAGGTCCTCAGCTCCCTCTCCACCTTCGGCCCCGAATCCACGTTGGCGAGCAGCTTCCAGAACGGCAGCCTGGAGGACACACAGAGGGATCATGCAAGGACCTGCTGCTCCGCTGTGTTTTAAGTTTACGGCTCACAAAGGTTTCAATTCCCCGCCGCGATTTGGCTTATGACAGGTGGGGATCATATCTTTGATCTCAATCTAAAGCGAACTAACCACAGCGCCTTCGTGTTGGGCAGCTCCCTGCTGTGCTCGGAGAGTTGCTGCAGCGCTTCCTGGTGCGCGGCCTTCACGTCGCGGGCCACACACACGGTGTACTGCAGCGGCAGACGCTCCATACTGGGCAGCGACTGCAGGCAGAACTGCTGTCTGCTGTCCACGCCGAGCTGCAGGGGAATATCAGGGGATACGAGCACCGCAACACCTGCGTGGTGGGAAGGAGCAGACGGGGAGAGGCGACATTAGTTTATGACATCATGCTTTCTGCTTTAGGGATAAACAGTCACAGTCCAGGCGACGATGGAGTACTTCAAATGGTTTGACACTAAAGTCAAAAAAGCGGCCGCAAGTAAGACGCTCCATCGCGGATTCCACTTATATGACATAGTGCGAGAGTGTTACTGAGACCGGGATGAGTATGACGGATGGCGTGTTGTGGGAGGTAGAGTGTAGGCTGTGTCAGCTGATATTGCTCCACTCAGATGTAAGAAAAACACTCCCCAGAATGAGATATAGCAGCATGCGGTTGGATGAGTTTTCCCTGGGACTGCTGGCAGCTTCTGAGTAGGCAGGTTACGCCGAACAACCGCTGCTGGAAGAGTCGGGTCGCCTGGAGAGTCACCTCGGCGGCGAAAAGGAATCTGGTTTGTTCATTTGCTTAAAACATGAGCTGCTGCCCTGAACCTTCTCTTCTCAAACTAAGAAGATTAATTTAGTGAACCTCCTACAGCCTTCCAGCTGAGGGGCTCCTTTGTGCTCTGGTCCCACCACACAGGCCTTCAGAGGCCGTGTGAAATGATCAGATTCTGCGTAGCACAAAATCGTGTCCACAGATGTAGTTGCCCTGCAAGGAATGCCTCGTCCCTCTCAGGTTACCCTTACCCTCATCACTTCTCCCCCAACCTGACTCCCACCGTCTCCCCCTACAGCTTTAACTACCTTCTCTTCCTCTCTGCTCTGCTGAGCTCCTGCTCTGTCCCATCTAAGGTCAGCAAAATGTCTTCGGCCAGTATCGATCTGAGCCTTCAACTTTCCTCGAGTTCTTGCACAATCTTCTCAAAGTAGCCAAAAAACTGGATTTAGGATCTCTGGCTGATCAATGAACGGATCAGACAGTCTGAGAACCGGGTGAGAGCTTGGCTCGGCGCTGCCGCCCTCTCTGGTTTCAATGAGCTTACTGTTCTCATGCAGGCAGGGACCAGGAGCGGGCAGGATACTCATGTACCAGCTCATAATCAGATTAATAGTTTGGCCGATCGGTATTCGAGCACCGCGAGGAGCCCTCAACCTCGGGGTAATTCTCACGTGTTTGCAACGGATAATGTCAAAGAGATACTGGTAACACCTCAGCTGCCTCTCACAAGCTATTAGGTCACCGCTCGCCTGCTTGTTTCATAAACACAGAAGTTTGCTACGAAGCATTGTTTTATATCTACACCAAATATTATACGATCTGCAAGCAGCAAAGGTGCCATGAAAATATATATACGTCTAGTGTACGGCGGGATAGAAAGTGGGCCAGTGGAGAAAACGCCACGGCTTTATGGAAGGATGGACGTGGAATGCAGGCAGTGGAAATAGAGGCACCGAGCGTACACCAGACACCGAGCAGCCCCGTAAGAATGATGTGCAGATACAGTACGCTGCTGCAAACAGTGTGTTTCACCAAAGTGCACACGGGGTGGAAAGTGGAGTTTAAGTTTGCAAGCACGACTTCTGGAGCCATATTTAATTTTTATGGGAAACGACTCTGCAGAGGCTCCAACAGCGCGGCACCTACTATTCCATTTCTGATTAAACACGCTGATTTGAAAGTATACTAAACCCTGTCTCGTGTGTTTATACAGTTGTACTCAAAGCACCGTCTATCTTGATTTGAGAAACCCCCGGTTATACAAGTGTTATAAGACGCAGACGCGCATCTTATCTCCGGAGCAGGAATCAGTGAGTGTCGTTTAAAGAAAGTGAAGCAGGTTTAGGGCCTTGAGTTACAGCCAAGGTGGGGTACCCAAGAGTTAAAGGGGAAACGAGGAAGGGGACGGGGGGAGGAGGAGGTGGACCCTATTTTTAGAACAATTTCTTAAAAATTCCAAGCTTCCCATAAAATATTTTCCACTCGCTCTCAGAAGCGAAATGACACGCCTGACTGGAAGCGTCCGCTCACCTTCAAAGCATCAGCAAAGATGAATGAAGTTTATTGGGCAGATTTGAATGATTCGACACACGCATTCCTCGATTTTTACAGCTGAGCCGAGCGAACGCACAAATCAAAAAAAAAAAAAAAAAAAGGGTGCACGTGCACATTCTCTCGCACATTCGCACACACTTTCTTTAATGGGGGACTTCCAAGAAAAACAGAGCAGGACTTATAGGACCATAAAGGTTCTGCACTTCCTCTCGCTCTGTTTGAGCCCAGCGTTGGGAGGTGGTAGCGGAGGTGACCCCGTGCACCTTCTCAGGGGTCAGGAAGGTTTTAATGTGGCGTCTCCGGCCCGTCAGCTGCCCGTCTGAGGGGAAAATGCCGCCGCCGCCGCCGCCGCCGCCGCGGGCCAGATGGGCTGCACTCCTTTACCTGTCATATTTATACGGTTATTTACGACGCCCGTGCACACTTACAAACCTGACTGGGATTATAAAAATGTGCGCTCGAACTCTAACTCTGTGTGTGTGTGTGTTCAGGCATGTATTTCCTTAACAATGGAAATTTCGTTTCTGTGCCCAACCTCAAGAAATTGATGGCCACAAAGCTGGGATCCTGCCATGGTAGTAAATTTCCAATCCCACTTATTGAAAAAATAATGAAACACTAAAGAGACTTTTCTCTGCTCGGCTCCTATCATCAATCAGTTTTATTGTTCAACGTGTGAGACACTGTGTTCTGGACAAACATCACACATAAAAACGTGTTCTGCTCGCTATCGACAGATCATACGAGGAGATTAGGGATCGAAATGCTCAATAGCTGATGTAATATAAAATGATTTGAATCCATATCAGGAAGTTGCTCGCTGAAATAAAAAAATAAATAAAGGGATTTCTGGTCTTTTGCAGTTTTTGAAAGTAAACAGAACTGATCAGACGTGTGCTTACGGAAAGGCCCGACGAAACATTACAGGACTGTTTCTTTATTTAAAAAAAAAAAATCTCTCTCCGGTGGAAAGTGTAAGAGGTCGGCGGTGGAGAATGCTGCGGGGTGACTTTCGAACGGTAGCCTTCGTGCAGGAGATGACAGGCCGCTTTAACAAAGCTTCAGTTGGCTGAGCGAGTCATTCTCCAAGCGCTTCACATCCTGCTTGTCCAGGAGTGTCGAGGTTTCGGGGCAGCTGCCCTGCAACCTCCCGCTGACCTCTTGAGCAACACAGATGGGTGTTAGTTAGGGGCAGCTTGTTTCCCTACAGCTATCGTTTCTTTGGTAGGTGTACACACAGAATTAAAGTGCTGAAGGAACACAACGCCAGCTAGAAGGCCACTGGGTTGTCTGTGATGTGTGGTAGGAACTGGTCCCAATTAGATCTTAGGAGTCTCGCCACCCTCAGCTTTTTAAAGGTCTAGAAGACAAAACACGAGACTTCTCTGTAGCTTCTAAACCTTCTTTTCTGTTCTCAGATTGCTAAATAAATTTTGAGTAGGATTCTTTTTCCCCCTCTTGTGGTTTCCTTGCTTCCTGTGGGAATATGTTTTTCGCTTATTGTTCTCTTCCTCGTCGTTACAACGTTCGGCCGTCTCATGTAAAAGCTGATTAAGTGTCATTATCCGAAACGGAGAATCGAAAGTTGCGTAACTTTGGTCCCTATCTCTCTGCTGTGCTTGGCCGCTTCCCTCCGAGATACAGAACAACAAACGAGCAGCAAAGTATCATCGCACACGGAAAGACTGAGTCAGAGATAGAAATAAAGAGAAAAAGGAGGGACGCAGTGAAGCGAAGGGGAGGAAGAATTATGCTAAAATGAAATACGGCGAGACCACGGGCCGAAAGGGAAAGACCGACCGTCTGAGTGCATGTGCAGGACGTGGCTTCGCATCTTAAGGAGTTGTCTCGTGTGAATTATGTCAGATTCTAACCTGTGATGTTCCTCCCTTTAAGGGCTAAAGCAGCTACAAAAGAGACGCTGGATAAATTACTGCCTGACCGAGCAGCAGCGAGGCACAGAAATGTCAGAGGTCAAAGTTGCAGCTATCGCACTTATCAAGCAGCTTCGCTTCAAGCCCTTATTTGTAAAGCTGGGAAACCTTTGAGTCGCCATAAAGCATCTGCACGCAGACCGCGAAGGAACGGAGGGTGAAATAATGCTCGTATTAGAAAAATAAGAGAGAATGGAAAAACCTATAAAACTATATTTGAGGATAGAAAAGCTGGCGAGTGTGCGCCAACATCCCAGTTAAATGCAACACATATTCTAGGATTCAGATCAATAAAATGTATTTGTGTGGATAGGCTGAGTAAATACTAATAAACTGATATTTTTGCTTACAAATGTGAGATTTCTGATGAACAAATTATTTATTTATGCTCCTAAAAAGCAAAAAAAAAATGGAATAGTTCCTTTTTTCGCCCATATTGGCAGCATTTTCCTGACTTTCCTGTTGACAATTAGGGGTTTTGTTGTTGTTTTTTTGTCCCTACATAAGCTCTGAAATATTATTTGTCAATCTAGTTATGTAAAAAAATTTAAAAAGCTGAATTAGCAAGTATTTTACTTTTTCTCTTCTACCACACTGGAATTTTAAGTCGTTATAAAACCAAAACCAGAAGCTTAAAATGCTGGGATTATATCATTATATAGTACACTAATGACATGCTTTTTATGTATACTTTGAAATTTAAATAAATATAAACATAAGAATATCATGTAGCTGTAAAATCAAATAATAAATTATTAAGGAAGTTTACATCATATTAAATAACTGAATTCTGTTTATTTGATGTCTGTATTGTAACGATAGGATCTAAATTAATTTAAAAAACTGCTGCATCTTTACTTTCATTTATTATTTCAGGAGTCAAAACTTCGATCAGCTCCGGGTTCTTCCCTCCAGAACTGCATCCAGCAGCGTTGGTTCTGTGCACTAACTCGTGTCTAAAAGTTTAACTTCGATCTCTGCATATCTGCTCACATTTGCTCCATAAAGCCCCCGTGCAAAATCCCAGGTTAGGAACAAGCTTTAGGAAGCCTTCTTCTTAAGAAAGGATGTGGCTTCACTGATATCTAATCTGTCCTTAGTAGCCCAGTTGTTTTTGTATGGATAAAGACAGGTGGGGCTCTGACAAGTTCCTGCAGTTGGCAACACTCTCAAATGTCACTCTGCTGCACGGTTGCATATATCTCCTCTACCGTCTCTCTGCTTTACTTTTCTACCTCCTCGCTGCGACACTCTTTCTCTCTTTCTTCTCGGTTCTGTTTAACATCAGAGCCCGGCATGTTGTCTCCCGTTTGTCCTGCATTTCAGTCCATCTGTCTCGCTCCTTTAACCGTCCCCAGGAGTCCTCTTAGGTCGGTAATGGCTGTCGCAGCTCCGTGGTGCCCACCACGTTCATAATGCGCTGCCCTGACTAACTAGAGTCGGTGAAGACAGGTCCCATGCGCGCACCTCGCATGTACAACAGAAATATGGCGGTCAGCGGGTTCACACAGCTGTGAATGTCACATTAAAACGTATTGGTTCCCTCGAAGCAGATTTGGGAAGAAAAGCGACAACGTAGGCCTGACGAAGACGTCGTGCCAAAATGCAGATTAGTCATAAATAATATTCACTAAAATGATCAATGACATGTGGTGACTATTTGACTTTTTATGACCATTGGAGCCCTTCCTCAGGCTGTTTTAGGGAAAACATACTGCAGTTCTTTTTTTTTTCTAAATCCAAATAAAACTCAGGAGAGGTTCAGCAGTAAACTGGGAGTTCAATCGGAGCATCGCAGTTCATTTTGGATCCTACTGCTGCAAACCACATCGTTATATCGCAAATGCCGTGTATGCAGCGCATGTGGAAATTGGGTGAAATGATTATCATACAAATAATCATCATACATCAAAACTGAGGTTTGTTAGAGACCAAACGTGGTCAATCAGCTCTTCTCATTTTGTGAGCTGCTCAAACAAAGGCCTGCTGGGAGCTGGTGTGGACGGCAGCATGTTGAAGCAGCCTGATGGCACCGACTGAGAGGTGTGGAGCTGTGAATATTTACATACAGTGAACATTTGCTTCTGCAGCCGTACGGAAAGCTCGGTCTCTGCGTTCTTCTCTGCAATTTGACTTGGAAACACGAGGATTATAAATCACGCTACGTCTTCGTTTTACATTCCGTCGGTGATTTCTGTTGCTGCGTCCAATTAGATTTGGTCGACTTACATGAAAAAAATAATAATAACCTCTCCACTGCCAAAACGAGGAAGAAATCAATGATGTGCTTCAGCCTTCACGTGGCTGCGTAAACTCTCAATTTCACATAATGATCTTGTTTACTATCCACCCATAAATGTGGATATTTTTTCTCCATAAAAGCCGCCGTAATTGTTTCCTGTCCCGCCGCCGTTAACCGTAACAATAACGCAGCGAGGATTGTAGCATCCCGCCGTGCGTCGCGGCCGCAAGTCGTATCGCAGTTCGGCGGAGGTTGACGAGTGCAGCTGATGTATTCTGACGTCCTGATGTTTTTGGACGAGGGCGAAGCGAAAGAACTGGTGATGTTTGGACACGCAGAACGGAGGGAGATAAGTTACAACTAATTGGGTTCCAACTTGTCGTGGATTTCCAGTTCCCCTCCCGGTCTGGAACACTCTCGGTGATGTTAATTGCATAAATTGGAACACTTTGCATAATAAAGAATCATAACAAATCTTATTTCATGCACACGGGAGCGCAGATGGTTGTGAGATTATTTTTGGCAGGAACCCGGAGCTGCATGTAGGATGTCATCCATTATTTATTCAACGAACCAATCTGATGTGCAACACGAAGACAAATGGAACATATAGCCCTAATGGATCAGTGGACTTCTGGGAAGCCCCTCATGCAGCGTGCAAACTGCCAGTAACATTAGAAGTCATTCATCTTTGGGAGAGTTTGTAGCATTAAAACAGCATCACTGCATCGCCTCTGATGCTACGTCGAGTAATTCCTCACCAATCACTGCAGTTTAAGAGAAAATCAAGCACCCGGCGGTTAAACCCCTTGTTGGTGATGTTAGAAGGCGATAAATATTAGCATTGGGCGTCTCGGTTAGCTACACACAGTGATTGTGTTGCTGGCAAATGAGGCAAACACGTAAATGTTTGCTTTAAGAGAATGAATGATGATGCATGACTGAAACCTAATGCACCTCGAGAAGCTGTGATGACACATTAGCCAAATCTGACCCACAGCAGTCTGCACATTGTTGGGCCTTTTTAATTTTCTAACTCATTTTTTGCCTGATCGACTGTTTGCATGAAGCTAAAACAAACAGCATCTGCCCTGTCCAACTTAAAGGAAACAACAGGAAAGCAGCCAAATCTCAACACTGCGGAGGAATGATTCTTGAACTTTACAGGAAGATGTGGTGTTAAATATACCTTTAGTGCTCCGGCAGGCATCACGCTGTCATTGCCCAGCATCAGTTCGCTATGTCTGGGGCTATGTACAGTATGTGTCTGTGAGCGGTTGCTTGGCAACATTCAAACAGTTGTTCTCGTCGGGATCTCATCTCATCTGCGTGTGTTTTTTTTTTCTCTCTCTCCGTGCGAAGCTAAACGGAGAAACAAAGGGTTACAGGGGTCCCGATAATTACCGACGTCCTCTCACAAGGTGGAAAAGGGATTTGAGTCATGTGACCCTCTTGTTAAGCCCGCACGCCGTTACATAACATCCCCCCCATGAATGTGTACGTGCGCGGGCATGTGTGCATTTGTGTCTGTCAGTACGTGAATGGATGTGTTTGCTGGGGAGGGGGGAGGTCGCTGGTAACAATCAGCGAAGTCATAAAAGATGATTGTTTGTATCACCTCGCCGGCTGATGTCACGCCCAACCGCACATGCACAGGATTCCCGGACACGCTGACGGACAAACACATTAGAAATACATGTCGACATGTGCACGTGAGTTCAATTGCTGCCAGATAACTCCATTTTTGTAGAATTTTCTTTCCGAAAACGTATTTTTTTTTTGTTTGCTTGAGATAAAATCAGTCAAACTGAAGCTGAGTGGATTCGACTCAGTAGGAATGACTTAAGTTTCACTGATATTGTCTCAGGTAAACGATGGAAAAGTGGGTTTTCTGAAGGTTTGTGAACATGGAGTTGTCTGTTTTTGCAAATGAACTCCTCGTATCAAACTCTTTTGCTCAGAAAGCAAACACAGAAACTTGAGAGTTCCAAGTTCCCGAGGTTAACGCTACACATCAGTCACATTAACCATTCACATCCGCTAGTGGTCCCTGCCTAACCACCCCCCCCCAACTTTGCCCCCCGGGATAAAATCTAACACCACCAAAATAACCTGGTGAGTTATAAGAGTCAGCAGGGACCTCATCCAACCTGCCCTTTTAATAGAAACAAAAGGCAATTACCCCGGTATCCCTAAGAGTTAATTTAAGATGCTAAAGGTGGTTCGCTTCCCTTTGTAGTCTAATCTCTAAATTAATAAACCCACATGCCACAGACAGTGTTGTGTTTCATCTCTATTTGTGGGGGACCTATCCCGGTCGTCGGTGTGGCGTTTTTTTGGTGGGTGGGACGCTGCTTCTAATGCCATTTTTTTTTTTTTCCCCTTCAGCTCAAACACAAACAAACACTTACATGAGGGGTCTGCGGGGGTAAGAAAACACAACAACATCCGCAGGGCTTCCCTCACGCCCTGGGATTCGCGCCACACTTTGTGTACCCGCTGATGTGGGGTCAGATTTCCGGAGCCCTTGTTCTAACCCCGACGCCGATGGCAAGTGTGGGGAAACAGCTGACCCTGTGTCATTTTAAAGACTTGGAGAGATCTTTCTTCTGGTAATAGACCTGGGTGTGGAGAGGAGAGCTGCGGCTCCGCTTTTGCTAATGAGATGCTCTCCGCTGATAGGGAATCCGCAGAGCGATGAGGATGACCTCTCACCTGACGAGCCCAGGAAGTAGCGCTCCAGGGCCGAGCCGAAGCCGGAGGGATTGTCCTTCAGGTCGCTGACGACGAAGGGCTGCATGGTGGCGTTCTGATCGTTGATGGGCCACGTCTGACCGCGGACGCTGGCACCGCCGTACCAGGACACGTTGGTCATGGAGAAGCAGTCCTGAGAGAAAACATGGAGGAAGACACAAAAACAACGTGAGAGACAAAGACGCAGAAGCAAAGCGAGAAAGGTTCAAAGACTACAAGAAACTGAGAAGATTAAAGAGTCACATTTAACAGTAGAAGATGCACACAGAAATGGCCACCAGCATTTAAAGGTTTACAAGAGGACTCCAATGTTTGAGCACACTTATGTAGATTTCATACATGACAGAGTATAATTAGATTTTATTGTTTTAAAGTGTTATCTTGTGTTTCATTTCTCAGAGGATGGATGAATCTCATACTTGCTATTTAGTGCAAGTGACCGATTAATGCAAAAACGCAGGGCACAAAGCGGCATGTGTGATGGCTGCTACATGAGACTGTCTAAGAAAGTATCGCACACGGCAGAGGATTGAATGACGGAGAGGTTTTCTAAGAGAAAGCTTCCTCCTCCGTCTTTTTAAGCGTCCTGGAAGAGAAACGCGCAGACTGGAAGCTCGTTTATTTCGTGTCAGCAGAAATCTGGGCTCCGTTAGGGAGTTTCAAAACAGGTGCCAAGTGGTCATCTGAGAGGCACTGGGCAGGATTTTGGAAATTAGGAAAAAAATAAAGGCGACTTTGGTTTGGAAAGACTCTCTCTGTGAGCAGTCGCGCCACATGACAGGGAGTTATGGCGAAGGAATGTTCCAGTTGGGGACAGATTAACCTCCCCAAACGTCGCAATAGTTAAATGCCTTTGATAATTAAGCCGGTGGGGGGAAAGTACAGTAAGTACCGTGTGCGTAAAAAACATATATGCATAACAAGTGTGACGAAGCAGATTTAACACGACGCGGATCCGACTGGGTGCAGTGAATTAAGAGGGCTGTAAAAAAGGGACAAAGGGATGAAGGAATCACGCAAAAATAAGGGCTTAAATGAATCCCTCAGGAATCTATGCGGTTTCATGCAATTTATTAGTCACTCACGCTGCATTTTAAATTCAACTAAATCCTAAAAATGAAACATAAATCGTAGTTTATGATTAAATTCCAGGCCTGCACACTGCATCCTGCAAAAATGCACTTTGTTATGATTTCATTTCTAGCTGAAGAGGATATTTCAACTTGTTTTTTAAATGCTACTTCTCCTTCCAGCCGTTTTAATGCAGTCTGAAGAATTTCGTATGAACAGGTGGTGGTTTAAATCACTGTGGCTCGATCGCCCACAGGTCTGTAAAATAGCTAAAAACGTCTTGTGTAGGAGCTAAATGAGATTGTTAGGATTCTTATGCCGCTTCTATATTTTACACACAATTTCAGCAGCTCGCATCCAGTAAAAAATGCAAATTAAAAGATGGCAAGATCCAAAGTTAAAACACGCGCAAAAACTACTTTACGCACAGCATATTTTACGCACAATTACACCTTTTTTATTTTTCCTGCGGCTCTTTCGTGCACACTGAGGAGAGAAACCCTACCTTCAGCTCCACATGACAGTGCACCGGCGCCCAAGTCATACTGTAGCACTCCGTCTCCGTATCCTCATTCACCTCCAGCGAGATCTTCACCTCGGCCACCGAGTCCCACGTATAGCAGAACTCGGTTTTATTAAGCCAGCACAGGTTCCTCACGAAGGGAACCTCGATGTCGGGGTTCCCCACGTTCCCGACGTCAATTTCCACGTAGGTCTTGTCCTCCGTCAGGGTCTGTATGACCAGCGAGTGGGTTCTCCTCTCCCAGATCAGTCCGCTAAAAGTGCCCCTGAGGATCCAGTTCTTGTTGGGCTGGTCCACCACTTGCCAGTAAATGATCCCGATGGTCATTACAAAGAAGACGGCCACCCCGAGACAGGCTATAGCTCCTTTCCAGGTCTCGTTCATCTCCTTCAATCCCGTGTCCCATGTTACCTCTGGGATGGGGCTAGGGTTCCTATTTCGAGCGTGGGGCATGTTGTTTTTGAGATCAGCAAAGAATCAAAGACAAAAAAATGCTGCAGAAATCTCTGTGCGTCAAAGATCTCTGTTGCTTCATCATGTCATGGTGTTTTCAGTGAGGCTACAGTGTGTGAACCAGTCTACTCATTATCTTTACGCCGTTTACACTGCTCTGTGTGTAAGTGTGTGTGTGTGTTTCTTTTTTTGCGCAATTGTGCCAGCAACAGAGACCTGTCATGTGAAGAAAGCTGTGATAGAAAAAAAAAAAAAATCCCAGCGAAGAAATAAAAACAGTATGAATGAATAATTGGACTTACCACATACTGCTGCTGTTTTAAAAGAGCTGGATTTGTAAATTGCATTGGCTGCAGTGAGCTCATGAGCAGCCCCAAGCCGGGTTTGGCAGCAATGCCTACGAATAGCTCCTAAGACGCTGTCTTGCTTGCCCTGCACTTTCTGACGTAACGCCGGGTTGTTTCTTCAGAGGAAAGGTAGAGAGAGGGAAACGAGGGGGTCAAGAGGGTTTGGCAGAGTCTCGGAGTTGCCCGCCGGGGTGAGGAGGCCACGGGCAGCCTGGAAGGGAGGGACCCCCACGCGTGCTCGCAAACTCTCCATGCGCTCTCCGTGCGTAAAGACTGTGCACACTTGTCATCTGGCGGTTTGGTGGACGGCGAGGGGCGTCAATTGGACATGGCAAGGTCGGGGCACATGCCATGCCTCATCCAAATGTGATCCTGTGGTGTTTAACATTTTAATGGAGAGCAAAAGGTGATGTCTGGACCTGATACCGAAACCACAAACACAAAGATCTATTGAGGGATGTCTTTATTTTATATCCGTTTAATTTAACTGAATGCATTAACTAGGCTTTTTATTATTAAACTGGCCATACGATTATAATATATTCCCATTGATATATGCATAATTATTACACTTGTTAATTGAATCAAGAGCTTAAAATGTTTGTTTTGACAGTTTTGATCAGTTTATTTATGAAGTGGGATGAGCCACCTGTCATCCATCAGACATCTCTGCTGAAGCTCCAGATTCCTACAGCTCACCATAACCACTGAGCATATTAAAGTAAGCTCATTACTTTACTTCTTGTGCACATTTTGCATTATACTTTACTTTTAGCAAATATACCTACGATGCATTCCATCTTTCCTGTCTCAAGTTTTGTCGAGAATCTAAAATAGAAATACATAGTGGATGAAAAAAAAAAGAAAGACATTCCAGTTTCTCAAATGTTTGTCTTTCGGTTAATTCAGTGTTTAGGTATTACATCAGCAAGCATATAGACAAAACAAACAGCTAACACACTACACTGCCTAACAAGAACTTTTGAATACATACATGCATTCCTCTGTAGACTGTAACTGTGATCAAGCTGTCATATCTACAAAAAAGTCTTTAAAAATTACAAATAAAATTGTACGATCGCACTACCCCACAAAACTGGAAGAACCGCCTCGTTTAAAAGATACCAAACCTGAAAAAATTGGAGTGTAAAGTTATGTAATGACTTCAGGATCTGATTGGATAGAACAGAGCTTCACTTCAGCCTTTAATTAAACAATCTGCATCACAGCATGTTGCAAAGGAGACACACTGGATTTCTGTTCAGCCACAAATCAAACAGTGTTTGAACATCATAACCAATGTAGATTTTTCTGGCTTCTTTAACACAACTTGGATTATTATTAGTCCATTTCTTGTGCTAGGAAAGTCACATACGACTACATTCCCATCTGTGGTGAATTCAGGGTGTGCCGTGATGCATCCGTATATATATATATATATGTTATAGATTGTCTGAGGTTTAATGTGCCGTGTGGCTCATGTTGGCGTGCAGAAGACATCTGAGGGCAGGAATGCTGTTTACGAGTGCCTCAAGGGTAGCGAGTGATGGTGCGGTTGGTCGAAGGTGGCATTCGTTGGCATTTGGACTGTCAACATCTATTGTGTCTGGAGTTATAATGTCAGCATGGTGCCGCGGGACTACGGCGTCGCTCGCACTGCTCCTTATCGATACGAGCGCTGAGTCAATGCACGACAAAATGAATCAACTCTCAGCTCTCACAGAAGCACATCCTTTGTTCTAACTTTCTGAAACCCAACATGTGCGCTGCTCATGTTGACTCATTTTAATTCGGTGTCACCATCCGTTTATTTCAACACACTTCTTACTGTAACATGGCCGTGGCTCTGTTGGTATCCAACAACAACTTTATCGGACCCAAAAATAAGACAAGAGGAATCGTGGCTTGAACAATGTTGTTATGTTTGTAGGTTAAGGTCTTCGGTGGTGCTGTGCACCAGATATCCCAAGAGTGTCGGCTGACATACCTTGAAGATCAGTTGCCCCTGTCCCCGTTTATGCATGTCAGCCCCCCCAATCCATCACATAACTCTGGCAGGCACAGAGACACTGGATAAGGCTGTGGGAACCTGTGTGAGCGCTCCACCTAATCACCCTATTCCAACTGCAAGTAGATTTTGAAATCTCTGGAAATCAGTGTGAGGCTTTGAGGTGATTCAGTTCCAGAACTTGAGCTGTTTTGCTTCTTGCAGAAATCAAATGTGCTTCTATCTGCATGAACTCATTTCAGTATAAAAGGGGAAGAAAAAGCTTCAGTCAGCTAACGTATTGGTTGTTGAAGCTATGTCATGCTAGCATCTTTGCTGAAGTGTTTCAACAGCTTTTGGGCTCAAACTGTTTTAAATGTGACATTTTAGAAACAGCTTTCTGCACGTGTAAATGCACTGGAGATGAATAAGCGGCTGCACGACTTTGCGTTTTCAAACCTGCATTCGGAACCCTGAAATTCAAGTTCAACACGGGCTCTGTGGCAGCCCGGCTCCTGGGTCAGAGGTCAGGCTGATGACTTCAACGGAACATCCAGGGGGGAGGGTCTAATTTTACACGCCATCCAGATTGCCCATGACCCTCGCAGCTATTAATAGCCGGAGGACTGCTGCGTGGCATGCACCCGCTCCCTCCGAGTGTGTGAACACGGGAGATGAAAAAACAGAGGAATCTGACCTGAACTGGCCAGTACGTCCGACCACCTATTTAGTGTTGATGGCAAAGGGGCAAGAGTTTAATTAGGTGTGGGGCAGACGGGCTAATGGTTTGTGTTGTGTGTGCCGAGAGGACGTTAGAAATCACCGAATCACCTGGAATAGTGCTTCAGGACAATAAAAGTCACTGTGATTGTTTCTTTCTCAGCTTAAGCTCTCTGCTTGTACTTATCAAGTGCTGATATCTGCTCTTTTTAAATCACAAATATCTACCAAAGTTAAAAGACTGCATGACGGGAAGCTGTAGTGAAGCACAGGTGATTGCATGAGTTAAACGTAAAGTGCTAAAATATATGTAGCAGGTTTTGCTTATGCGATTATTCGGTAACTAGCACAAAATATTGTCAGGATGAAGAAAAGACAAGCTATTGCAGCACATCTCGTGTTAACCAACAGCGCTAAAGTCAGTGGGATGTATCCTCTGGAGACCCTGACAGAATGCTGTACCAGTCTGTAGATATTTAGGGGAACTCTTTGACATGCTGGTGTTCTTACAGGTGAAATCAGGAGACGTTATTAGAATTCAGAGTTGTCTGGTTATTTCCGTGCAGACCATAGTGGCAGAACACAGACTAAGCGAGCAGTTCGGTGACCCCCGGTAGATAACAAGCCCCTCGAGCTCACAGTCTCACATCACTAAAACATCTGCTAGCGATTGCCAACCAGGGATGAGAATGATTTTATAACCAACTGCTGCCAGAAATGATAATTGGCTCCCCTGGTACAGTTTTGACTTATCCATGACTGTGGTACATAACACACATAACATCCTGCAGTGAGAGCTTCGCCACTGTTGAATCACCTCGGGACTTAAAGTTCTCTCACTCGTTGCTCGCTCTACTTTCCATCATGTTTCTGTAGTTGCTCATCGTCCACATCTCTGCAGCTCTATGCAGTAAATGCTCCTGTTGCTCGTGATACGCTGTGCAGATTAGGTGTTTTGCAGATAAAAACTTATCACGAGCACATATTTTATCCAAACAACTATTGGGGGGAAATTATTTGAGGAATCAGTTGGTCCACCCTTCAAGGAAGGCTGAAGTGGCTTCAGGAGGGAAACACTAAAACAGCGTATCCCGTTACACGCAAAACTATTTCACTTCAGCTGACAAACTTTTCCATCTTCATGTCTGGATCTCCAATTTACCGTTTCCTTTTTTTTCTTCTCGAGGATATTCAATACCGCCAACCTGACGACTGCTTGAGAGTCAGAGGGGGAAAGTTTCCATACAGCCCCAGTGCCCACGTTTGGCGGGACAATCCCGCTGTAGACCGAACTGTTTCCGTCTATCCACCTCTGCTGTGCTCCCTCCTCCACTCTTACTTTCTCCCTTTTCGTACCGTCGCACAGACAGTTTCCACTGCCCCAGACCTGAACCTTCTCCACTGTGCCTTCACACGCAGACAAGCCAAAAAGTGGCGTCAAATAGGTGCAGTTTAGTTGTAAATACAGTAACTATTAAAAAGAAATAATTGCTGATGGACCTCAAAATCAACCGTACAGTATAGGTGTCACTTGCTGCACATATATGTCACATACGTGTGTGAGATGCACTGCATATGGAGGCATGTTTGCAAGAGTGTGCATCACATGATAAGTACTAAAGCACGAGTATTCAGTCCAGGCCAAGAATATGACTTCTGCAAAACTGAACTATGAACAAAAACCAACATTTTTATATGAAAAAAGTAATGACATCAGCAGAGCTATCACAAGCTCTGGCCCGCTCCTTCAAAAAGCATTAAAGCTGCATTAATCAGGCGTGTTTTCCTACAACAACCAGTGAAATTAAATATTATAGTTAACTTTGATTTTCCATGAAAGAGCCCAACTGTGTGCATTAGCAAACAGGCTTGAATCGCATCTATAAATGGCAGAGTTGGACAACAGTGTGAGACCAGACCTTTGGCTGAAGGTTGCGCCGGTTCAT